TTTTTTTTAACAATGTCGGATTTTTTAGTAATCACAGGCTTGATTGTCCCAAAAGTTCCAAGTAGGAATGTGCAGCTCAAATTGTTCTGCTTGAGGGGAGGGTTAGAGACGGTTCAAGGTCTAATTCCAAAGAGTTTTAAGAGAAGAGATGGAAGTTTTTAAAAAGAGATTCAGCCATTTTGTCTGAAATGGTCTAGGGCAGTGGGGGCGAACCTATGGCACGGGTGCCAGAGGCGGCACTCAGAGCCCTCTCTGTGGGCACGCGCGTGGTCGCCCCAGTCCTAGGCCCTCAGCTAGGTTTTATAAAATCTTTTCGCTTTAGGCCTCCGCCACCGTGTGCCAAAAAAAAAAAGGTTCAATCAATCAATTTCAGCTTCTCTTGGGAAAAAAAAAGACCTTGCAAAGTTGGGATTGATTGATTGAACTTTTTAGTCCCATCCAGTCTGTTACCACCACAGCCACGCCCACCCAATGGGCCACACCCAGCCAATAGGCCACACCCAGCCAATAGGCCACACCCACCCGGCACCCGACGATGCATAAATGGGTTTTGGGTTGCAGTTTGGTTCACTTGGTCTCTAAAAGGTTTGCCATCACTGGTATAGGGTTTCCTGCCTGAGCAGGGGCTTGGACTAGAAGACCTCCAAGGTCCCTTCCAACATCATCATCACCATCATTATTATTATTATTATCATCATCATTATCATCATCTTATCAACTGCAGTGTTTCGCTTATTAATTGTGGCGAGAGAGGTTGTAAAACGGGGGGCAAAACTCACTTAACAAAGGTCTCACTTAACAACAGAAAGTTTGGGCTCAACTGTGGTCGCAAGTCGAGGGCTGCCTGTACATGAATCTCAGATTTGTTGCAGGTCAGCCTTTCAGTAATCCTGTTTTGTTCCGTTGAAACATGATCTGTGAGATTTCTTTGGATGGACAGGTTCCTATTAATTGGTAGCGTCTGATTGATGGTGACGATGATGATGATGATGATGATGATGATGATGATGATGATGATGATATTCTGGGGTGCTTGGTGCTCTCTGAGCTTGTCTGGTTTTCTTGCAGACGTTTCATGATCATAACTAGGTAACATCATCAGTGCTAGAAGGGAGGGGAGTTGTAGAGGCAGGAGGAGGAGGAGGAGGAGGAGGAGGAGGAGGAGGAGGAGGAGGAGGAGGAGGAGGAGGCAGCAAAAGACTGTGGAATCCATGGGGCTCTCTGAGTTTGCTTGTTTTCATGCAGATGTTTCATGACCAAACTACGTAATATCATCAATGCTAGAATAGAGAGGGGTTGTGGAGAGAGGAGGAAGAAGAAGAAGAGGAGGAGGAAGAGGAGGAGGAGGAGGAGGAGGAGGAGGAGGAGGAGGAAGAGGAGGAGGAGGAAGAGGAGGAGGAGGAGGAAGAGGAGGAGGAGGCATCAAAGGACTCTGGGTTCCTTGGTGCTCTCTGAGCTTGCTTGTTTTCTTGCAGACATTTCATTACCCAACTAGGTAACACCATCAGTGCTAGTAAGGAGTGCGGTTTGCTGTCAGTTTATATTCTGGTATCTTGCTTGTCTGTGGTGGGGGACGCAGTCTTAGGGATTCTTTGTTTGGGCTTTGGCCGTTTCCTGATTGGGGTGTCACTTACTTGATTCCTTCTGTTGTCTTTATTCAGGTATCTCCACCCTTTGAATGATTAGGCCATAATGACAGCTGAAGATTCTACTGCAAGGATGAGTAATGATTCCTCCAGCATGCAGACCAATAAAATTCCCGAAGGGCTCTCGGGCACTCCAAACGAGGCCGCGCTCTTGCAGTTAGTAGATCGTACCGGCTACACCATGATTCAGGAGAACGGGCAACGAAAGTACGGGGGTCCACCTCCGGGCTGGGAAGGCTTGCACCCTCCTCGGGGATGTGAGGTCTTTGTGGGCAAAATCCCTCGTGACGTCTACGAAGACGAGCTGGTCCCGGTGTTTGAGACCGCGGGACGTATCTACGAAATGCGCCTGATGATGGACTTTGACGGCAAGAACCGTGGCTATGCCTTTGTGATGTACACCCAGAAATACGAAGCCAAGCGCGCTGTCAAAGAACTCAACAACTACGAGATCCGTCCGGGAAGACTGTTAGGGGTGTGTTGCAGCGTGGACAACTGCCGGCTCTTCATCGGTGGGATCCCCAAGACGAAGAAGCGGGAGGAGATTTTGGAAGAGATCTCCAAGGTGACGGAAGGCGTGCTGGATGTCATCGTTTACGCCAGCGCGGCTGATAAGCTGAAGAACCGAGGATTTGCTTTCGTGGAGTACGAAAGCCACCGAGCGGCCGCCATGGCGAGGAGGAAGCTTATGCCAGGCCGAATCCAGCTGTGGGGCCACCAGATTGCCGTCGATTGGGCCGAGCCGGAGATAGATGTGGACGAAGACGTCATGGAGACGGTGAAAATCTTGTACGTGAGGAATCTGATGATCGAGACCACGGAGGAGACCATTAAAAAGGTCTTTGGTCAGTTTAACCCGGGCAGCATAGAACGGGTCAAGAAAATCCGAGATTACGCTTTCGTCCACTTTACCTGCCGGGATGACGCCGTTCACGCCATGAACAACCTCAACGGCACTGAACTGGAAGGATCCTGTCTGGAGGTCACCTTAGCCAAGCCGGTCGATAAAGAGCAGTATACCCGCTACCAGAAAGCTGCGAAAGGAGGAGGAGCCACAGCAGTCGAAGTGACGCAACAACCTAACTATGTTTACTCTTGCGATCCGTACACTCTAGCGTATTACGGGTATCCCTACAACGCCCTGATTGGTCCAAATCGAGAATACTTTGTGAAAGGTAAGTGTCTAAGTTTTGGCGCAGTACAGGAGGGATTAGAGTTACATCCCAGGGGGTAGCTGACCTTGTCTGGGGTCAGAGGTTAAGAAGGGCCGGGACTTCGAATAGGAAGCTTGACTGGAAAGTTGAAAAAAGTCTCTGGGGAAAAAAAAGAATGGCAACCTACTCTAATTGTGTAGAGCAGGGGATGTCAAACTCGCAACATCACGTGACGTGTCGCGACGTATCGTGACTTTTTTTTTCCATTGCCAGCAATGGGGTGGGCCCGGTTTCGGCATGACGCATCTGGCCCGTGGGCTGGCAGTTTGACACCCCTGGTGTAGAGGCCCTAATTGCATAGACTAATTGTATATTAATTGTGTATATTAATTGTATACGCCCTAACTGTATAGAGACCCTAATTGTATAGAGACCCTAATTGTATAAGGTCTCCTGCTTGAGCAGGGGGTTGGACTAGAAGACCTCCAAGGTCCCTCCCAGCTCTTATCCTGATCGATATTGATTGATACTCCTACTTGTAGCCAAGAAACCTACCTGGGAATATCCAATGAAGTCATCAGAGTTGGAGCTTGGCTAGAGGAGATCTTTTCTTTTATTCTGGCTAAGTGGCAGTCTCTTGCTAGGCTTCAGGATCTTCAGAAGCAACCTTTGATTAGCCCTTGGATGAGAGACCACAAGGAGATCCCAAGGCTACAAGCTAGACTGGGAGAAAAGAGCCTGGAGGAATGAGTTAGCAAAACACTTCTTGTATCATTGCCAGGAAAATGTGTTCATGGAGTCACCAAGAGCTGAGATTAAGTCGAAGGGGATTGTTTTGTTTTTTTTATTGTTATTTATTCTGCGGCCGAGGCCTATGCTTCTTAAGTGGTTACCCTCATTTTCATGCTTTCCAGATGTGTCGGGCATACAGTTGCTAGAATTCTTAAACCTTGTGGTCAAGAAGGTTGTCTCAGATCGGGGAAGGTTGATCTTTGACCTCGTTTCGCTTGTGTACAACATTTTTTAAAATAATAATAATGCTTCGTACTAAAAAACATTTCAACTTCTCAGCTCCAGAGTAGCTCAGTTCTGGCTGAAAGGCAACACGCAACACAAATGAAAATTAAGAGCAATTAGAGAAAGGCAGGCCCTATCTACCTCGGCTTTAATTGTCATCGCCTCTAATCCTGAATTTGGAATGATATGGACTCACAACCGTTTCGTTTCCTGACCGTTTTGAAGTTACCACCACACTGAAAAAGTGACTTTTTCATAGGGTTCACACTTAACAACTGTTGCAGCGTTCCCGTGGTCACGTGACCAAAATTCGGATGCTTGGCAACTGACTTGTATTTATGACGGTTCCGGGGTCCCATATCATAGGTTAACTTTTGCGATAGGTTAACCCATATCATAGGTTAACCTATATCATAGGTTAACTTCTAACAAGCAAATGAATGGGGTAACCAGATTCACATATATAAGAAAAAGGGGACAAATAATGACTAAGTGAAATGCAGCAACCGAATATTATAGAAATAGCACAGCTTGAATTTTAAAGAACAAATTTAACCCCAATTACGTTGACCATATTATCTAGTCTTTCCATTGGTTGATTACAAAGTGGCCATCAGGCAACTTTTGATAATGCTCCAGGAAAGTTAACCATCTCTCTCTTTTTTTTTTCTTTTTGTGCAAAAATCCCAAAACAGCTAAAATCCCAAAGTCCATAAATAGATTCACAATTTGAGGTTAATGATTTAACAGCACATGAATACCTTTAAGTCTTAACTCTCCTATTAAACATTTCTTACATTTAATTTCATTCTGTTGTACTTTAACAGATATTTAAAAGTGCCCACAAGGAAGAAAAAAAAGAGGAACAAAAGAACAATAAAGAGATAGAGATTTAAAGAGAACAAGAATTTTCAAATCATATTTGAAATCATACACACAGATGCACATATATACGGTATAAAGATAACCTTATATTTTAACTATTGAAATCAAATCAATAATTAGCCAAAATAACCAACATAATAATCATAACTCAGAATAAACAATTAATAGAAATTTCTAAGAAAACCTATCCTTTCACCGTCCAGTCTCTTGGGCTGTTCAGTTTATGAATCATATTTAAAATTACAATTTATAAAGAAGCCTCGACATGTTCTGAATTTTTGAGTTTCTTTTGAATTTGGACAAGCTGTTGAGTTTTTCACCTTATTTCCAGAATTGCTTTTGAACTACGCTACTTATTTAAAGATATTGGAGCCAATTCCTGACATTTTAAAGGAGAGATTTTCAAAAAGGTTTTCATCTTATTTTATTTAAAAAAATAAATAAATCTTGCCCCCTCTAAGAATTATTAGCTCCCCGAGGATCAGTTGTGTGGAACATTTGCCTGCATGAAAAATTGTATTGAAGCAAGGGGCTATAAATACTGTATGGACTTCTTCTATAAATATGGACCCCATATTTTAGTACACTATTTATAATTTAATAATCTCTTATAGACTGGACACTTCTGTTTGTATCCACTCAAAGATATTTATGCAAGCCTACAAGAGATCTGCTCATTCAAGTAGAGGTAACTCAGCCATAAATCGTGATATGATCCAATCTATAATCCGAGTCAAACAACTGACTTAATACTATAGTTGGAGATTTGATACAATTGGTCCATCTCAATCTTTGTACAGTTGGTCCATCTCAATCTTTGTGTCTCGCAAAATCCTAAAACAAAATCCTCATTCTTTTTGTTATGTGCCTTGCCCATTGATTTAATGTCTTAATTTGGAATCGTTTGAAAGAGAAAGTTGCTGCTTGATAAAATAGCCCTAATCAGAACAAGTTCAAGCTTTTCCATCATGAGATACCGAACATGATATTTTGCAAATCTGTGGAATAAATACACTTAAGTAAATTTGCAGGCGTTTTAATCCGTCGAACAGGGAGATTCAATCCCGTTTAACTGCTTTTTCTCTTCCAATGAATTCCATTCAATCATGTGTGCGTGCGTCTTTAATCACATTAAAACATTGCCTGGATGTTAGGAATAATGAGACAGTGAGGGAATGACCAAATCATGTGTGTTAGCGGTCCTTCAAATTTATTGCATCCGCCGCATAGAAAAGTAGACGAACTACCTTAAACAAATCTGTGTTAAATTTCTTTGTACGTTCCTATTTTTTGTCCTCTGGGGGTAAAATACGATAAACGAGGCAAAGTGATTAATTAACAAGTCTTATCTTTAGAGCCTGAAGGTAAGTTTCCAGCATTTGGGAATCATAGCAGATTAAAATCTGGAATCTGGATTCGACAGCAAAATGTGGCGAGTGAAGAAATGAACGGCACTTGCTAGGAATTCTTATTTTGAAGGTTCCTTCTACAGACAATCCTTGACTTAAAAGCATTCACTTAATGACCGTTTGAAGGACACTGAAAAAAAAGGTGACTTACGACCGTTTTTCACATTCACGACCCTTGCAGCTATCCCCCGTGGTCACGTGACCAAAATCCGGAGGCTTGGCACCCCAAGGTTATCCAGCTGGGCCCAGGAATGAATATCTCTTTTGCTTGTTGTGGGAGAATATGAGTGCATTGATCATGCCTGCTCTCCATTCTTAGTTATTTCACAGAAATAGGCTAGAAGTGAGGTGTCTGTTAGCACGACATTTTCAGGGATTTACCTTGCCTTTCGTTCTTGCTAGTTTTTGTGTGACACGTTTCGTTCTGCTTTGTTACTGTTTTTACTTGTTAGCAAACTAACAGAGAGGGCAGCTTTGTGAAGGTTGTTGCCCAGAAAGAGACAACGCTCGTAGTAATTTTGAATATAAACAGGTTTCCCCTGAGATGTCCCCTCTCTATAAATGAAATGTTTGTTGTGTCATCAAATAACTCCATCTCGTAATATTCCCTGATGAACTAATATAGGGCAGTGTCTTATTTAGTGTTTACTGTCCTCACAGGAGGTGATTCTAGACTGAGGTAAATCGCCAAGATCAAACGTGGGGCTTGAGATGAGTTGTCAGACAGAATTGATGAGGTCTGGAAGCTTTAGTAGAAAGAAGCATGGGCGTGCATTGCGCAAGGGCCCGTCGTTTCGTTCATCCATTCCAAAATACTCAATTCAGTTAGAAGAGTCCGTTCAAAGGAGAACCAGCTTTGAACAGAACTCCTGGGGTGTTCTCTAGTATTTTTTTCTTTTACAAGAAACCACCAAGCTCAGAGACCACCAAGCCTCCTCCTCCTTTTCTGGATGTCATTTTGGAATCATGAAAAGCTGCACGTCCTTCTGAACTTCTTCTGAAGAGGGAATAATACGGCAAACGAACCAACTGTCTCAAAGGTGCTTTTTTCAGGAGTCAACTGGACTTTCTTGTTTTTCTTTGAAGACGTTTCGCTTCTCATTCCAGAAGCTTCTTCAGCTCTTTCTCTTGTTTTTCATCCTGGCTTGGTCAATCATTTTTTTTTATCATGCTTTTTATAAGGAAAGATTAGATCACCCAATTAGGTAACATCATCAGAGCTACTGAGGATTCACTATTTATGTACAGCAGGGGTGTGATATTCCAGGGGGTGCGAAAATGTGAGTTTAGAAGTTTCAAAATTATAAGTACATGCATAATTCATTATTTTGAACTTTTGTAAGGGGTGCAAAAATATATCTGAAGCGTCCTAGGGGCGCGGGGTATAGAACAGTTTGGGAGCCGCTGATGTACACTATACAAAAGCCCTAGAACGAAAACAGGAGTCATCGGCAGTGTAAGGACTGTGATAGCTTTTGTGTAACACAGGCAGAAGGCTAGCTGGGTACACTCATGAATCCCAACCAGCAGTCAGAAGGCACAGTGAAAAAATCAATCTCGCAACACGAGGCTCCAAATAGTTTCAACGGGGAAACTGTGAACATCCTAGAACAAACAAAATAATAACAAACAAACAAAAAAGCTAGGAAATTCCTGGAAGCTTGGCATTCAGACCAATCAGCCGCCAATAGACCTATAGAGATGACCCAC